CAAAGTTGTTACTGTTATAGCGCGAATGTCACACGAACGCAAAATGCCTGATAGTGGTTAGTTCATTTATTTCTTTGGACACCAGGAAGTCTGTGACTAATGTAACGATACCGCCATGTGCCCTGAAGCCTTCATCAATGTCTTGCCTGTAGCAGCAAAAGCCCACGAAGAGAGAGGGAATGCTCAGGAAGATGTGTTTCCTGCAGGCAGATGACAACGGGTCTATGCAGAGACATCAGTTTTCATTCATCTAAACGCGTGCGAAAGCCATTCAGGTTCCATGAGGGGAGAGCCATAACTTTTAGATGTTAAGTTTCTAACATCTAAAGGGATTTTTCTTCCCCTTTTCCGTTTAGGTCTCTGTTGCCCGAAGGGACGAATGTCCATCCCGGAAGAGTCCGAGACCAAAGCAAGTGTGTTAAAAACCTAGGAGGAGTGTTCCCCAAAATACGTAAACAATGTATCCGTAAGTGCAAAGCAGAAAGTAGCAGGAGTTGTTGGGAAACAAAGAGGTCCCTCAACTGCTAGGACACACCTTCAAATCCAACACGGGTCGCCATGCACGGCAAATACATGTGGGGGCGTACTCCATACAGGGGGCCAGTGAAATAGAAGGGATACAAGAAAAGACACAGGATGATACAAAATAGCGAAAATGAACGATGGGTAAGATCAAGATGATTGGTTAGAGAAAGGAACAGTTGAGAGCCCTCCCTGCATCCCATCAAGCAGTGCTGCGATCTATTGAATTTTCCTACAAGTATTTTTCAGTATATTTAGCCTTAAACTAATGTAGCTACAGAATGGCACACTTTCTCGTTTTCAAATTTCTTTTGTCTGGGATAGCTTTTCGGCTTTGCACATACTTTTGCCAGCTGGCATTTATCGCCGCCCAAAGCACATTTCTTTAAAATTTTCCCATTTTTTCGGTTTTCTAATGGAAGAACCGAAATATTACTTTACGAATATTAAAGAAGCGTAAAACCTCATTCAATAAGTTCATTTTCGTTGAACAATTTGGATGCATATTTAATAAATTGTCATTTAAGTCTTACTGTACATGCGAAATTTCACAAAGTTTTTATTTGTTCTATTTCACAAAGATTTCCGAGAAACTTAATTGGAAGTTATTGTGAGAGTTATTTCAAACTAGTGGAGATACACAATCACCTACTTTCTCGCATTGTTTCTAAATGCTCGGCAATTTTGTTTTACTACATAAACCAGCAAAGGAATTTTCAAGCAGCAAAATTTTTCCTGCTCCGAGATCCGAACTCAGATCTTCAAAATTGAAGTACCAATTTTGGAGAAAATCGGTTGAACGGTTTAGGCGCTAGCATTGACCACAGATGAACAGAGACAGATGTTTTGACGTCGATTATTCGGTATCAGGAAACAACACAACATGGATTCTGGGTACACCACCACATGTTACAGGATTTTTCTAAATTTACCAACAGGATTTTTCCACTTTTTCATAATCAGAGCCCAGCAATGGGAGTTTTTCTGGCGAAGATTTGTCATTTTGTGGCACACGATTACATAACTGTCTCTTCTTACGAAATATTCGTAAGGCGAGAAAGTAATCATTATTTTGGAACCGTTAAGGATGTCTCAAGTTCGTCCCATGGGTACAGGTTATATTGTATTTAAATTTCATGTTGATATATTCTTAATCAGTTCATACAGATGCACAGAAAGACTGATTTGAGGTGAGATACGTATTACATATCGAATAAGTTGACAAATGTTTAAAAGTTACAAATTCGAACAGCACGTAGACATTTCTGATTTACTTTTATACATATATTTTGTTTGTTGGCGCGTGTGTGTGTGCGTGTAGAGGGGGGGGGCGCATTTGTGTGTATGCGTTCTATGAATAGCAAAAATATCTAGCTTGCAATTTGTAGTTATCAAATGTTTTTCAATTTAAAAAAACTAGCAATACCCGAAAATGGGACAAGCACAATATTTCTAATAGTCCTTTATTAAATATGTGGAGAAATGTAAAGAAAATATTTGGAGAAAAATTTTTTTTTTAATTTCTAGCTCACATTATGCAAAATCCCAAATTAAACAAAATTGAAGCACAGAATTTAGAGACATTTTTATGAAAATTTTGAAAATATCCGAGGTGCTTTTTGTAAAGTACTTCCTAAATTAAAATATCGGTTCCAAATTTCAGGGGCGGCGACATTAGATCGATTGCGGATTATCAAGTCGGGACAAAATCGGCTGAACTGTTTAGCCGCTTGCGTTGACCACGGAC